AATTATTTGGCTTCGACTTGAAAAAATAAAATAAAATATACTTTATTATCTTTAAAATTATAAAAATTATCTAGATTCGTCAAAATTTTTTTGTTAGTCTGTCTGTTTGTCGTGATTCTACAGAGTGTTCAAAAAAGCAACATAACTGAGAAGAACACCCAAGAAACTCAGTCCGGCTTTTAAATTTTATAACTTTTTTAAATTTATTTCTTGATAAATTTGACACCTCAACTGGCAATGTATTGTACATACGAATACAATTCCCCGCAAATTAATTAGATATTTTATGTAGCCTATATTTGGGGATAGCTAGGTTATCCTTATTTCGTAAGTTCAAATTATGCCTATCACTATTCTTTGTTAAACTTGCTTTTATTCTTATGGGCATACAATACATTTTCATAAATATACTGCGAGTACACAGTAAGTATGCCGATATTTTTAAAGGTATCTCTTAATGACTCCCGAGATCCCATACCATAGATAGCCCGGACCGCCCTTTTTTGCAACACAAAGATACATTCAATGTCGGCAGCGTTACCCCACAGTAGTATGCCATATGTCATAACACTGTGGAAGAGCCGAAATAGACTAGACGCGCTGTTTTAATGGCTGTTAATTCTTTGATAATTTTTACGTTTGCCGTAAAAAAGGCTGCAGAACTGAGTTCACTCGAGGCCTTCCTGATATAAGATCCCAATTGTAGTTTGGAGTCTAACGTTATAACCAGAAAGACAGTTTCATTGACCAATTCTATCTCGTCGTCCCTCACCTCAACACTGGCTTTAACTAACCTAACAATAGGAAACTGGTAGCTGGTTGTCTTTATCTGTATTTATGTTTATAACACATTTACGTGTTATTTTTGTGTCGTTTTTTGTTCAGAGAAGGTAAGTTTTAGTAATAACACGACATTTTAGCATAATAACTAATAGACAGAAAAGTGAGTCAACTTACTCAGGGGAAAAATTTCTCATTTGGTCCACTGAGTTGCGATAGCAATAAAAACCTTCTATTTCCGTTTCGTTTGCTTCGTAAACATCGAATAAAGATTGAATACTAAAATAGAGAAATAATGTTGCAATAAGCGGAGTTTACATACAGATGTGTAAAGGAGAAATATAGACAGTGTGTTTTACATCTTATAATAATGAAGAGTTGACGATGTGTTACTACTAGATATTAGATACTAACAGTTGTTTAGCTCAAAATTTCGTTGCACGATGGCTTAATTTCGTAGAATCAAATGTACTCCACAGTTAGTTGTAATAAACAAGCCGAGCGAATGAAAACGATCAAAGAGCGAGCGAGCATTATTAAGGTATTTCAGTATGTAAATATGTCGTGAATTACGAAATATGTTCATACATTTTTCGACGGTAAGAAAAAGGTAATATCGGGTCAAAAAGTCGGGCCACAGGCCACAACATCTTTTTTATGACAGCCTCCTCTATCACAGACTCTATCTCTAGCTGGTGGTGGTCTCTAGCTTGATGGCGAGTGAAATATCTCAGCTTTGGATATTTGGAAATTCATAGACTAAAACCGAAACGCAATTAAACTTCACGGCTTTTCCATACATGGTGGTTTGTGAACCGTACGAAATTTGGATATTCCTCCTAATAATTTAATATCCAGATTTCTAGACGAATCCGACGTGTTACAGAAATTTTTTAAAATTTCTTAAAACGTGTTGGACTCGGTGGGGATCTAATTCACGACCCGTTCATTTGCTCAATCATATACTAACGCGTCTGTCAAAGAAAACTCTATTTTAATTTCAAATTTAAATATTTAGTCAAATCTATCTTCAATATTCTGAATATTAATAGCTAATCTACATGAACCGTTTACTCTTACGAGACGAATCCTTCAGTTGGTATATATAATATAAACTACGTACATGAACGTTAATGAATTGTTATTATTTAATTAATTATTCTTAGCACCCGTGATTGTTATGCTATAATTAATCATTCAGTAATAAGACTATTGTCTATCGAGAGGGGCGCGAGTCTATGTCATAGTTATACTCGTAGCTACAACTGTATTGGCTTAATTTGGCGCAGTTAATTTAATGACTAAGAAATTAATTGGTGTTCACAAAAAGTAATTCAAAAATAAATGAATAGATTTAATATATTTGGGTAAAGTTCTACCATTTTTATTACAATTTATGCAAAACAATTGACAATTTACAATAGCAAAGCACATCTTATATATCTAAGAACGTTTGAAGGATTAATACTCTGGTGAAAAACTGTACAAAATTAATATAATGTTATATATAAACTTAAAGTACTAATTTGATTTCTATATATTTTGTTTATTGTGTTAATAACCTGACTCTACCTCGTACACTTTTAATATTGCTACGTAAGTTTCTGAACACAAAGTTTCGCAATATCTTGGTTAGAATTCCTTTTCAAGTCCTTTGAGATGCCATTTTTATCCCCGAGTAGGTTCATAAGAATGGAGCATTTTAAATTATAATTATCTAGTGCCTTACAGCCGAAATAATTCGCCTTAATTGTGAAAAGTTGCACGAATTCAGTCCCAAAACAGATAATTTTTCATTCAAACGACTGTTAGGCACTTTGTTGTCGCTCGTAAGTTTTATAAGATTCCCTTGGAGACAAAAAAATCCTCTGCATATTGTGGTCTGAATGATAATTTCTTTTCGGTCTTTTTAATACCTATATTCTATTACAGGAGTCTAATAAGCACGAGCATAAATTGTATTCCAACGCTACCTAATTCGCTAAATCATAGTTACGCAAACTTGAATGTCCGAGATGCAGCACTTTGTAACTTCTAATAAATTAGTGTCGCCAACCGTTAACATAAATAACTCACAGCTTCCTGTCCATCTCCCCACTTTACTATGGCTTAAATCAATCAATTTAATTTCCTTTCTTGGACTAAGATGCTCACGGAGATATCGGTACGAGATGTGTGGATATATGGTTTAAAGCGAGAGAAATCAATACATTTGACAAACTTTTTCTCTCATACCCTCATAATAATATTGAGTGCTTTGTGACAAAATCCAAAATTAAAACGGTTTCAGTTTCAGTTCAGTTTAATTATTATATAAGATTTTCCTTGTGTACCTCTAGTTAATGAATAAAACATCGCATAACAAAGAAACGGGTAAAATAAGAAAACATAGATTAATTGTAATCCGATCACGTTCACAAAATCTGGAGCTCCTTCAAGGTTCTTACGAAAATGATTATTTGGAAATATGAAATGGATCGATACAAAAAAAAGAAGACATTATACCTCGAACGAACACTCGAAAGGGTCTGAAGTCTCGTTTGGCTTTCGGCGAAGCCGCGAAATTTCCGTTAGTTGTTTTTCTGAAGAGGTTACTCCAATACCTTTTAAAGATGTTCAACGACGCATCTCGTCAAAAATATTGACGTATAATCGGGGTTTGTAGAATAAGAAGTAACGTGATGTGAAATGTGAGGCCGAATATTTCTCAAACAGTAAGGAGAGGTAAGTCCATTGTTTTAGCGTAAAATCTTTTATTCATACCACGCAAGCAAACGCATAAACCAGTTATATTCTACGACTTCTACATAACAATAAAAACAATTCACTGATTCACAAACGTATATAGTATTTCACTCGTTCTACCTTCAGTTATCTCTCTTGTCTTTACGAATCCCATTTTACCTAGTGGATACTCTAATATTTGATGTGGGCTGTTTACTTGATCTAGTGAAGCGGGTGATTATTGACTTCATTTAGGGCGTCTGTAAATAAATGCGATAGTGTGGGAAGTTCGACGTTCAAGCTCGTGAGCACCTATTAAAAGAAAAACTGCTATGTGCTCAGGGTTATATAGGTATATAAACGGGAAAAGATATTAAATTATTTAGAAGAACTTCACCACGTTACTACTCAACTTCTTTTTTCTATCTCAGTACGTGACGTCAACCGATCTGAATATCAGGGTGTCATTAGAAAACTAAAATAATAACGTAGAGACTGTAAACTAGCTGACGTACCTAGATCGGTAAAACAAGGTAACATTTGAAAGGAATATGTGTTTAATAGTGGGAAATAATTTTCCACAATCTAGAATATCTCACAACTTTTAATAGTTTTTTACTAAACCATCACCATACATGATTGTTATAATAATCAAGTGAGATGTCACATTATCGCAGTCCTAAAAAATTATCTTACCTGATATATCTTCGTCCGATAAAAACAAAAAGTCAAACATAAAAACTAAAACTTTTAACGACTTATGAGGCGAAGTATAGGTATTCAACTTGTGTTTAATTTATTTTAACTACGACCCGAAGCTTTGGATGCGTTGCTGCAACCGTGGTCGCGAGGAACTAGGTTTTAGAGGTTTTTTTTTTCAATGTGAACTACTTGCGTAAACTACAGACAGTGCTCAAACCCAAAACCCACACAAACACAATATATTTTCAATCTGTATTTTTGATGCTACTTTGGGATAGGTCAAACAATAATTTTTATATTATTTATCTATGTATTTCATCATTTTACTCAAGTTCGCGCCTTCGTACACAATGTTGTCATATAAAAAAACTTACTTATTATTTATGATTATTTCTTCCTGTTAGCCAGAAATCATTAAAGTGGTAACATAAAAAAAATCAGACTAAACTAATATTATTTTTGTTGTTGTAAAACAGGTAAATAAATCATTTTTTTTAAATGGATTTGGCTTGAAGGGACGCGAACCACAAACTATTGCTTAAATATAATATTTGTAGACCAAAGACTATATTTTAGTACAAAACACACGTTAACAGTTGACACTTATCAAAAAGCTATTCCGTGTGTTATCTGTCAAACAATCTAAATGTTTTTAACATCATAACCTATGTAAAACACAATTCTGAACCTAATAACTTTTTGAATGTTTTCGCAAGACATTTTATATTAAAACGAATAGTTTTGGTTCTACTTTTATTACTAAAATATCCTCTTTCGCCGTAGTGTAAAATAATATGGCAGTAGCATACGGTATACATTTAGGTAATAGTTCTGGATGCTTAGCAGCTTTCACGAATGGTGCTTCGTCAGTGCTGGCAAACGATGCAGGAGACCGTGTTACTCCAGCTATAGTAGCTCTCAATGGTTCCGAGTGGGAAGTCGGCTTAACCGCCAAAACTGGTCAACCAGCATCGAAGGCTATCATAAAAAATAACAAGCGTCTGATGAACTGTGAATGGAATGAAGATGATCTCTTATTTGTCGAAAGTTCTTCGTCTTGTCGTATTCAGAATGAAGATAAGGTGTTGTACGAGTTTGAAACAAGTGAAACAAAGCTATATTCTAGCCCTGATAACATAGCAACAAAGATTTATGCTAAACTGTTTACAATTGCTAGCCATTCTGTTAAAGATGAAGGTGACTTAAAATTAGTTCTAGCTGCTCCTTTACATTGGTCACAAACAAGTCGGGAGAGGCTAATAAAGTGTGCAGAGCTGGCTGGTTTTGATGTTCTACAGGTTATAAGTGAACCAGCAGCTGCTTGTTTGGCTTATAACGTTGAGGAATCAGCTGAGGACATTAACATTTTAGTGTATAGGCTTGGTGGTTCAACTTGTGATGCTTCAATAGTAAACGTCTCCAGTGGGTTTATAAGCATTGAAAAAAATATATTTCGAAGTGATCTTGGAGGACAATGTTTGACTAAAGATTTAGCAGACTACATTGCCCAAGAATTTAGGCAGAAGTGGAAATTGGATCCTCAAGAAAGTCGAAGGGCAATGGCTAAGCTGTTACAGCATGCAGATAATTGTAAACATGTGCTTTCTACTCTCAGCTCGGCTCATGTGTTTATTGAGTCATTAGTAGATGGTGTCGATTGGAGTCAAAATGTGTCTAGAGCTAGATTTGAAAACATAATTTCATCAAAAGTATCTGCATACATTGAACCAGCTCAGAAGCTTGTGGAAAGTTTTGATGGTATTATAAGCAAGATAGTAGTGTGTGGTGGAAACATGAAAATTCCTAAGTTGCAATCAGCTATAGCAAATTTACTGCCAAATGCGGAACTTCTTTCTGGTATTAACCCTGATGAGGTTATCGCTGTAGGATGTGCAAAACATGCTGGAATAATTTTAGACTTTCCAAATTTATCTTTGTCTGATGTAAATACGGAAGTTGAATTTTTGGGACAAGACATCTACCTGAAATATTTAGATGAAACTGTCAAGCTTTTTAAGGAAGGTACTCCACTCTACACGCAATATACTTGTGATATAAATTCACCAAGTGATGTAAAGAATATAAGCTTTACTTTGCACGCTCAACCTGATGCAAAAGAATTTGCAAAAGAAGATATTAATGTAGAGAGCCTAAGTAAACCTTTTAAATTAAAAGCCACATTACAAGAAGAAAAATTATTATTGGTTGTTGAATAATAATTTCCTGTCTATATGTTAACCAATTATTACTACAGTTTAATAAACCTACTCACAAGAGATTGTATCATTTTAAAATTCCAACAAATTACATATATTCGATTTAAAAAGCTGTAAAAAAATATTTACTTTTACTACGTACATTTTTTTTATTCCATTACATCAAGTTCTACTTATAACAACCGTCTCCTCGTTCTACTTATAACACCGTCGCCGTCTGTCAGTGAAAATAAGAATTACTTTATAAATCATTATAAAGTAGGCGATACTGATACGGTACTCATAATTATTATTTTGTTCATTCCTGGAATTTTAAAACTCAAATTATTAATGTGTTTTTTAAGTATACTCTGTGGTTCTAATTTAATTTTGCTAGTGTTCGATTATATCTGCAGATGGCGTTTTAAGAAATGTCGAATATTTGACATGAGAAGGCGCGGGAAATACACAATGATAATTTTATGTAAAAGTTAGGTGACTTTTGATCATTGTTTTTTATTTACAAAACTTGGTCACACGTAATTTAATATGGACGAAGAAAATGTAAAAGAGAAAACGACTTCACATGACAGGTTGAAAAACATATTAAATAATTTCACGAAGCTTAAAAGCGTAAGATTTTTTATTGTACCTTTTCACACCAACATACAAATCATTCTAGGCACCATCTTTTCTTATAATACAGAGAATGTCACTCAAATATATTTATTATTTTCCTTTCAACAGAATTTAATCAACGACACTAAGGAATGTAAAAATTTAAAAGAAATAAACAGAAAATTAACAACAGAACTTCAAGAAGTAAAGGAATTAGAAAAGTCTCACCGTTATCATTTAACTACATCGCGTGAAATGATAGCCAATTTGCAGGAGACCGTTTCACAGTTGGTTTATCTCAAACGCGATGTGAAAAAGTTAAAAGATCAAATAGTTTCTAAAGATTCTGTCATCACTGCTATGGAGAAGGTATTTTTAGGCGCTTCTTGAGTCTCGTTACAAAATAAAAACTTACGCATTACCAGTCTTAGGGGGGTTTACTGTTTGCGAAAAAAAGTCGCGTTTAAAAAAGTCTGAACTCAGGGTTAGAGAGACATGCATGTTGTGCGACATTAAATTACGACCTCCTTGTGACAAAGTCATTTGTGCTCAGTAAATAATCTAGATAATTTTACTTTTATTAACCACTTATGGCCGGTCTCAATTGTTGGCATACGGCGATGGCAAAATAGATTTTGTTACCGTCTTAGGCGAGCGTACGCAGGCGGGTTACCTACGGTTAGTTTATTTTTTTACACTACCATTAACAAGAGTTTCCATACGTTTTTGACAGGAAAATGAGAACACAGCAAGAAAACATAAGGACTCTTTAACAGATTTACAACTCGCGCATGAAACGCAAATAAATGCAATGATTAGCGATTGCGATAAGAAGGGTAGGTACATAACCTACTTTCCATTAAGCATCGAGATCGTCCTGATAAATTATGTGATAGAAAAAAGTCTAGGAAGACTCCCTTGTTGACGACGCTTGTGAGCAATTTATATAGTCATGTATTTTGTCTTCTTGTTATGACAATAATTTTCACATGACACAAGTATTAGGTTAACGTAACGTACACACTTAAAATATTATTCAAAAAATATTATTCACTTAGTTCAACAGATCCAAATAGAAGCAGAAACTCAAATAGCCCAAATAACATTTGTCGCCGAAGAAGAAAGAACCAAGACCAAAGAAATGGAATCGAACCACAAAGATAAGGTATAATATGTATAAATATTTGCCTTCATCGATTCCTTTTTCTGATACTAGGTACATACTAAGTCTAACGTTATAAAAACATGACATGGAAAATAATAATAATATTTGGGGGTAGATTAGTTTTTTTTTTCACGACGGTCAAATTAGGTCTGAGCGCGCTGGCAGATGCTTTCGGGTGAAACTCGTGCGAGCTGCTTGTGCGCAGTTTTTTAGTTTTATAGGTGTCTGCCTTTTTAAAATATAAGTCGCAACTCCTGCGTGTTGGATATACTAATCGATATTGTTACAATAGTTTCCGCGAGTCTAGTGCGTTTTGAAGTTTTCCTAAAATTAGTGTAGGTACTACGTGGTGACAAGTCTATACCCGACACCCCTTCGTTTTTAATATATGGACGTTCTTTATTCCCAAATACTATAAAAACCGTCACATCACAGTAATAGTTATATAGGACTGGAGGTGTGTATTTAGAGCAATGAATCTTGGTTGGCCAAGACTATCTTAAATAGAGAGGGATAGTGCTGCTCTTTCATTTGAGGTTTTTTACTTTGATGACCGTGAGTCCTAACCATGTACTTAATAACGACGTATTTTATAGATGAACGAAGTGGTACTCCAGTACGAAGAGAAGATACAGCGCCAGGCGGCGTCGGTGTCTCAACTGCAGGAAGAACTCGCGAGGCAAGCCGCTCGAAGCGATGCAAATATTGAGGCTTATCGCAGGGTACGATTTTTAAGGACATGTTCTTTCATATCTTAGACATAGTAATGACAATATACCATCTATTCTGTCTGTAGTAATTTTAGTAGTATATCGTTAAATGACATTTGTGTGATAAGTAAATAATGCACCGGCTACTCTACTCTGCAAAAGAAACTTTTTGCGCAAGTAGGTGCAATTTCTAAATAATATGCTATCGATTACGCAATAAACTCATAATACATAACAAATGTAAATACGCTCCAATAAGTAGCACGTTCAGTGCAACAACACCGACGCGTTTCAGCTACAAAAAACCGACCCGTCCATCCGGTTGAACCGAAAATGTAAGACAGCGTGACCCTTCAATGTATAAAGTATATTATGAGCGGGTCAATTCTAGTCATAAATGAGCACATAAACCATGCATTATTACCGACAGAAATTGGAGAACCTCGAAGAGAAGCTTAAGCAAAGTCAGTTTAAGGAGTACCTGGCGCATAGCACGCGCTCCACACAATTGTACGAAAGTAGAGGTGAACGGCCTTATTCCGTCGAGAGAGACTCTCGTGAAATCTATTCGCATCACAGCGATACGATGCACGACAGCCCTAAGCGGCGGCTCGCTGCACAGAGGCAGGGCCAGTCCCAAAAGCAAGGCACGCTCCAAGTGATGTACCACGACGGAAAGCCGAAGAGCGCCGAGAAAAAGGGCCAATTCAACATAAGCAAGAAGAGGAAGTTGTACAATGCTAATGAATTTTTGAACCGAAGCGAGTTTTAAACTCGTGTTTTACTTTGCCCGGACTTAAACGAGATTGTAAATTAGCCGTTTTTACATCACTTTCACTTTCGCTCGGTGCATGTAATATGTAATTATTTACTCATTGTCTTGTGGAGTGTCGCGTCGTCTTTTTATAAAAAAATAATATGTGGTATGTTCGTACCGACTTTATGGCCCGATTTGCGTTACATTGCAATACGCTTAGAGCGAAGGCACTGATTTCGAATACCGTGGAGTACCTATTTACAGGAAACGAACTGAAACTATTATTAGTTTCAGTTCGTTTCCTGTAAATAGGTATTAATAATTGAATTGCATCGGACACATTAAGATGTCCGCCCCACGCGACGGGACTCTCTTTATATTGTATTCGTCATCTGGTCTAAGGCTTCTTATGCGTTCTACAATTTAATCTACAGCCATTTATTCGCAATAAAATCTCATTAAATATCTCACTACCAATTTATAGTAGAAAGTTAAACAGTCAACAATAATAACAGATTATGAGTTACGCAGACTTTCAAAGCAATTTTCAAGGAAAGTATCATAAATCGTATAATTCTATCAAATCTATTAACAGCAAAAGCATTGATCGATGGCTGAAACACATTTAACTTACTTTGATATAAATTATTACATTAATAGGAACGTAGACTCCATTTACAAATTACATTTTGACAATGTGAGAACCTGAAATATGAATGTTAAAGGTACATTTTGTGCATTTGCAACATTAAATAAGTCGATAAACAGGAAAAGTTTAGAAAAGCACGAAAAGAAAATACTCGAGTTGATACATCGATTTATTAATATAAGACTTGCATTATTCAATTAGTAGTTTATCTTTGGCCATTGCATAAGAGGCATTCTAGTTAACATACGTTAATAACTTGACATTTGCATCGATTGCTTTTTAAACTATATTTATTGTTAATTAATAAACATTTATCCTAAAGCATGTGAAACAATAGCGTTTTACGTCATTAGCACTTACTGCGAAACATTTCGGTGACAGACTAACCTTGCCTCCATTTGAGAACGAGGGCGGTTACAATAATATAAATCTAAAACATTACTAACATCAAATTTATTTCAACTTTAACGCTGTAGGTCTTTCTAATTGTGCGAGACACGTTACACGGTACCTGGGGAGTCAGAAACTCATTATTACTGCTTACTACTTAGGACATAATATATACATAATATACACATACAAATAAAACAACGGTGTGACAAGCGCGGACGCAAGAATGAGCACTAGTGGTTGCGAATCAATCGGTCAAGAGTGTTCCAACTGCACGAATAGTCGATTTGCAAATGCCCGTACCTCGACAGGTGGAAGTTATTCGGCGCCGCCTGGGGCATCGGGTGGCCCCAATCTTCGTAGTCTTGGGGCAGACTCTCGTAAGCGTAATGCTCATACGCGTCCACCATCCTGTAAGAGACGAGGATTCACATTATTGTTTCGCTGTGAACGATATTAATTATTAAAAAAAAGAAATCGGACGACAGCGTAAATATTTGATTGTTATTTAGAAATAGTTCCCGACGCTTTAATTATCACATCTGAACAGCTCCTAGAACGAATGGAAACGACCGTCATGAAAAATAATTAGTTACTTTAATTTTCCATTCCTTTTTAATACATATATTTCCCGTATGATTTGTGACATATTTCTGTGTCCGTTTGTGTCATGTTGTGTAAAGCAGAGTATCGTAAATTACAGAATGAAAAATCTTCCAACCGTCTTAAATATTCAGTTGGAGCAAAATTAACGCTCATCGCATGTAAAATTCAACCTTTATTTCGCGTTTCACCTACATACCGCGAAGTAATTATAGAAGATATTAAGTTTGCGCTTGCGACTGCTGATCTCTCGAGCGTGTCAATACAATACGATAGTACGGGATTAGATAACCATCGGGCGCTTCCTAGCGTCTGTAAATCGCGAGCGTTATGATCGTGTTATGCATGTAAGGTAAGGTTGGTCTAACTTTCTAAAACTACCCACTTGTGAGTTTATGCAATTGATGTAATGAGGTGCTTCGAATTAATTATTCATAATCAGTTCATGTTACCTTGGAAAAATCAAAGGTAAGGTCACGTTTAAAATCTAACCAACGATTATACGATATTGTAAGGGGAAGGCGCAATGAGGAACCGATTTTTGACACTTTCTAGATATAAGTAAGTTTTAATAGTTTATAATTACTTAAGTATCTTTTTTTAAATTTAAGGGGTTATTTAAAAACGAGACGACTAATGTAAACGAACGATAAGTAAGTAAGTGTATAGTATAATTCTTACTTATATAAGTATACTTCTTAACTACCTGTAATTTTTATCGACGTTTTGGTTATTCATATTGTATGTAACATTTAAGTATATCTTTTTTTTATTGTTATTCCTTAGCCACTTATGAATTGTATCTGTTTGTTTCCTTTTGCTAAATAAATAAATATAATAAAAACAATTTTCGTTATTATTGGCATGGACATTGCCTAGGTCAATGCTAGGAACAAGTTTCTCCGCCATAGCAAGAAACAAACTGAGTTTCTCACACACAACTTTCATTTGTAGTAAGCAAAAACGCACGCACGTTCACACGACGAATAGACGGAGCGTCGTTTAGCGCAAACTCCACGACACAAGACCTAAAGTAGCGCATTTTTGCTTCAAATGTCTTCCGTGGAACTTGTACGGTTTTGTTATGGGAATGGGAATGCGAAAGAACTTTTTTACCTTCATCTAATTGCGTACGAGTATTGTGTTTTATAAATTATGATATTAATATGTAATAGTTGCACTTTACCTTCTGAACTGATTTCTTTGTTAAATTTGCGCGAACGGCAAACGACAGCAATGTATTAAACATTCGACCTCGATAGTTTGTCAAAACGATTACACATATAAATGAATAAACGTGAAGAAATTTTACACAACGCTTGTAATAAAATACGCAATAATATGACGCAGGGATATTAGGAAAAAGATTCAACATAAATATAATTTTGTTTCGTGTGTGGCGATAAATTCAAAAGAAAATCATTTAGTTACAGCGGGCCTCTAGGCCGTAACAGTCCTGTTTCAATTTTTTTTTAAATACGATGTAAGCTCCCCGGTTATGGATGTATTGTGGTTAAAATGATTTCAAAGCCTCACCGAGAATGTCTTCTGCCGTTGGGATAACCGTTGGCCAGCATAGGATCGGGGTGATGTACGAAAGATACACGAGGTCTCTGTACGGGCAGGTAACCAGGAGGCGGCATCGGCACTGAACCGTACATACTCTCATACACCATTGGATGAGGAATGAATTGAGGTTCTTCTGTGTACATTGATCGCCTTCCTTCCCCTGAAATAAACAATTCCACCAAAGACCTCAGAGAGTTAGTAAAATACAAGAATGCCTAATTGAATCTGGCATTCAACGCTCTAGTCATATAATATATTAAGCTAATTGCATTCCCATTTAACTTATGGCTGCTTCCATTACAATATGTCTAATTCTATGCTAATTATTTTATTTACGTACATTTCTATAGAAGACTTTTTCCGAAATGCACATTTCGCATTTATCAATAACGCATAGTCGTGCAAATTCTAAATAAAAATAAATACATAAGCAATGGAGCGAGCAGATATTTAAAACAGTTCGAAAAATGACCAGCCTCGTGAATCTTCTAGGCCAAGTAGATAAGTAAATGTGATTAGAGACAGTTATCGCCAAATTACTTATTTTTTTCGAGACATTTCGGTGAAACCTTTCAGTACTCACCCACGAGCCTTTGAGCATAAACTGGTACATCTTGAAGATCCGGCGGTGGAAGGCACCTAGATGCTCTGCGGCCGTAGATCGACGGTTCAGGAATGATGTCCTCAGGAATAGCTGCTCGCTTCGCTGGCTTCTCATCCGAGGAGTCATAATTCTTCGTGGGTACGTAATAAAAACTAGAGCTCACGGGTTCACCGGCGAAAGAGTTGGAGGGTTCCTGACTAGAATCGGGAGAACCGCCCGGTATTTTGGCCATAGCGTCGTTGTCCCACGGGTCAAGATACATTCTATTATTGTTCGGCGGTGGCGAACGGTCGTCGTCCTCGCTGTCAAAATCCACGGCGGTCCAATAGGGGCTAGCGGCGTGTCCAGGCATTTTATTCACGTATTTCACAGATGAAGATTGCAACTACACCTTGATGCACCGTAAAAATGTCCCAACAGCGCGCACGTTCTACCCATACATGGCGAGTCTTGTGATATCAGTCGATACGTTGATCACTTAATATTCCCCACACGCTCGAACCTTGGCAAGATATATTATACAGTATCAATTATTGGTGAAGACGCGAAATGGGAGAAGCGCGTGCGCACACTACGGCACTGAATCGTGAAGTAAACTACACGAGTTAAAACATAGGAGCACATACTTTTTAATTAGTGTCCGTAAACATTAATAATTACATATAGATAATGAATATTATACAAATTTAACTTGAATTGGTAAAAATATTGAATTATTAACAAACGATATAAGCATTACGACACTAATCATTAGGTAAGTACTATAAAATTAAAATGACATAATTATAATTTGTTTTTAATTATATTTTATTTTATCAATTTGTAATATTATATAATTGTAGCTATCAAAAAAAATAACGAGTCTCAGTGTCGCTCATTGCTCAACACATAAAACTATGATAACTTTGGATTTAAAAAAGCTTCAAGCTAATGTTTAAATAAAACACTTTAACGGTTTAAAACGCGATATATTAGTTAAACTTATTTGAAAATGATTTTTAACTTCGGCCCGACGTTTCGGATGCTTTGCAGCAGCCGTGGTCACGGGGAGACTATACGACATATACGACATAGCACACTCCATCAGTATTGTGTCTATGGATTGTGAGTCTATGTTACATTCATAATAATGACACCTGACAGTGTACATGACTTGTCTGTTCTGTACATGTCTGACGTTTGAAGTTAACAAGGAACGCGCGCATCTTGTCCGCGCCAGAAATTACCACAAAACAAGTGTCGGCTTCTGAGTGAAACCGGTGCGGCTTATTTATAGTATTACCATTAGGATAATACACATAATTTCATATAACCCACGTAGATTCAGCTCTAAGTCATTAAATATATCCTGGTAAGCACAAAAAGTTATGAGTACCTAGCATGAAAAAACAATTTGTCTCTAATTATTCTAACTCTAGTGGTGTTTGAAACATTTATTAAGTTAATCGCATTTGCAGTTATGGCCAAAGCTAATAATCTCAGCGATATATTAGAGAGTATAACGGACTATGATCTTAACAAACGAAACTATGCGGCTATACTAAAACATTTGGACTCGAATGAGAAAATTGATACGTCGGACTTAAAGAAACTCATTGCTCTCTGCATTCAACAGCTGAAGAAGAAAAATACGTTTGGGATTTCAGCTTTAAAAATAATATCCTCCGTTCTCAAAAAGCAGGAGGTTAGTATCTTATGGAATACATTTAACATTATTTGTATAAACTCAAATAATGTGTAATTCAGAATGCAAAAGTTACTCTGCCTCCACTACGTAAAGTATAAGACAGGCGCGCTGTGTCCATTTGATTGTTTCTAAATTTGTTTCACAAAGACTGAAACATTTGAAGACTTCTTAACACAATACACAATATATATGTTTGTTTTTATAACACATATGATGTGTATAAAGAAAATACCTAAATACTGTCTATAGTTTACGCGAGTAGTCCACATTTAAATAAAACACTAACGGTTTAAAACGCAATACATTAGTTAACCATCTGATACGTCGGGCCCAGGTTAAAAATACGTTTAACTTATATATTGCTTTTTCAACAGTTAAAGTGTTTTATTTAAAGGAAAATACTTATCCATGAGATTATATATTGACCAGATGAAAATTTATTTACAGAATGAAAAATGGCCTCACTCTCCAGATTTACTGGTATTGTTATTAGGTATTCTAAACACACTACAATTTAATGCCCGGTTTTCTAAAATAGAGTCACTGAAAGCATTATGTTTAGAAGTTGTCCTCCAATTCTCTGATTCATTGTTAGGAGATGCTGCTGTGCATCATCCTGATAAGTTTTATAATCTGGTTGAGCAATACTGCCAAGAGACTGTAACAGAATTGGTGTTTCAGGTAAATAACTTTTAAGTCTAAGAATGTTAATTATACATAGTTACATTAAGGTTAAGTAATGTTGATGAATAACATTAGGACAATAAATTCTTAAATGGAATAAGCATTTCTGTTTTAACCGGAAACATTGCATGCACATCCTGAGGAGGGTAAACCAGATTTTTATTGGTAGAGGAAAAAACTAAATTCTCAGAAGAAAAAGAATGGTTTATATTGCAAAATTTTACTTTTTTTTTAATAAATGACAATTTGCAGACTACTCTAATTACTTTGAAGTTGTTGCGGACACTCCCTGCCTGTAGTCGCCATATATTCGTTGAAAATGGTTTAAACACATGGTTCTCTGCCTTACTACCAAGTATTTTAAAACTTTCATTTACACCAGTCCCTGGACTAGATAGTGCATTAGAATGTGTAGAAGTAATAACTGATGAACTTTTGTCTATTAATTACTTTGACAATGCACATTGGAATTTTTTTTTTCAATATTTATCTGTCGAGTGAGTAAAATTCTCTTATTTACTTTTTTGAGTGCTTAAAATTTAAGTAAAATGCATAAATTTAAATACATGATACTTTTACTTTCAGGTTTTTAACAAATTTATCACAGATATCAATAGAACAAAATGAACATTGGCACAGAATTTGGAAGATCTGTGTAAAGTTAATGAAAAATCTTTTAACACAGCCCACAGCAACAGAAAGAGCCCCCATAAAAAGTCTTCTATCTGTTGTGGAGACTGCGTTTAAAATGGGTAGCCAAATCAGGTGCGGAGCATTTGAATGTTGGAATCTTTTAATTCAAAATATTTTCACAGAAAATAGTGCTTCCTTTGATAAAAAAGTAAAGCTACTGCTAATTCCGCTTTTGTCAAATAATGCTAAAAATGAGATGACAGCTAAAGCCAAATTCTTTACTTGGTGGCATTTTATTTTAAACTTCCATGAAAAGAAGACGAATGATGACGTTCCAGAGATGATGGAGTCGACGTTACTTCATTTTATAAATTTTTGTTTTGGTCACCCACTAAGTAAAACGCAGGTTGTACCAGGACAGATTTCGGACGCTACAAAACTGTTGTGCTTACAAGGCCTTGTCAATCTCCTCGGGCATTATAACTGTTCAGGCTGCACAAACATCAACAGAACCAGAAACAAATTAATATCTACTCAACAATTACTGCAGTATGAGAAACATTGGTTTCACTCTTTGTCTACAGTTATAAAAAACTATACAGATATTAGTGCTCAGGAAAGTAGCATAGAAGTGGAGAAAGGAACATTTAGGAAACAGTTGAAATGTGCTTGGATTTCCTTCATTGTGGCCATTGCTGATGTATCTGAAAGCAAACTGAGGATTAGTCTCTTTAAGAAACTATTGATTATGATACATGAATTATTGAAGGTAATATTTGACCCCTTGTTCCGCATATCCCTCTTATTCCTTCAAGTTCCCACCCACATTGCTGTGGTCCGACCTTAAGCGATGTCTCATCGTGTCTTGTTTAATCGCTTCTGTAGCAGCTAGATCAAGGAACTAGCCACAAGTGTCTGGTTAGTTTTTGTGTTTTTGTGGCTGCCTGTCAATAAACGCGTTACTATTAAAAAATACAAATATTTCCTGTATTCAACTGGAACCAACTCCCAAAAGGAATTGTCATGGATCCCTTACATATTCAAAACCTTTTGGACTCATTTCCTACGAAATTTTAATTCTCACACATCAGTCTTGGCCGCTAGTGATGAATAAATACCGCTCACTCACTTTGTCAAGGACCATTTGTTTACTGATGTCCTTTATCAATTTCAGGAGTGCAGTTTTGAAATGTCAGATGTTGCTGTTAATGTTCTTATTCCATCTGTTTTTGAGGCTAAAAATATTATTGATTTGCTTGTCAAAGGCCAAGATGAAATCCTTTCTGTGATTCACGATATTCTAGTAGACTCATCTAATAATTTGTTTTACTCCAAGTAAGTGACATAAGCTGTCTGTTTGTATTATTTAATCTGTTATTCATACAAAATGCATTTCTTGGCTTCTGTTGTGTGCTTGTATGTGGAATTTTATCAAGTTAAGGATCAAATCTATGTAAGATGAATAAGAAACAAACTTTAATATAAATATTTGTATATGTTTAAAGAGGAAAACAAATACTATAAATGATCTATTACTAAATTTCAGGTGCAATATAGATAACACAGTTCAGAGTACAATTCTATTTACCAATTATATTGTGGAAAATGACACAAGAGGAACATCCAAAAGTTTCGGCCCAAATTATTTTCTAGCAAACTTGCCAGATACCGAATGCGGGTTAATACTTTGGACTTCCTATATCCAATCCTTAATGAAGAATGAATTAATACCTAACCCACAATTAGTTGCCGATAGCATTATATGGCCTATAAAACTAAATATATCTACTAATGTAAGTTCATGTCATTCCCATCTAACGTATGTGCTTAGATCATCATAAATAATTTTATTGTGATGCTAAAAAGTTGCTTAGCATTGCGTTAAGAACTGGGTTCGAATCCCACAGGACACAAAAAATCTACTTGTGAAATGGACACCACACTGTGTTCTCACCAAAAGGCACTTCATTTTATGTATTTGATGTGATTTTCTTTTAGGCGGAGAAATATGCTTCAATGTGGCTTATTTACTACAACCATTTAAGTATTACAATGAAGAAGAATAAAAAGACGCAAGACTTGCTCTACGACAAGTTGTTACTATTTTTTTCTGAACATAAAAGTGTCAATACAGTGTTAAGCTTAACTGCAATTATAGCTTTAATTAAGCAGAGCTCCAACGATAAAGGTTCGTAATATAGTATGTATTTGCTTAAAGGACATTTGAAATTATTTTTACAACGCTTTTGGTTTTATCAAAACTATTGGTTAAATTCTACCCTAATTTCAGGAAAAATACTTTCAAAGAAAGTATATCAATTATTGACTATTCTAAAAAAGCAAATTCGAGAAGTCCTGCTCTTGCCTTTAGTCTATTTCGAGCTTCTAAATTGCTTGGTCGCCGCCTTGAACATTTTCCAAGCGCCTAAAATGTACACGGCCTGCGCTAAGCTTTTATTGACTATAATTAACAACGTATTAAAAATCACGACGAGGAAGACAAATCTCACGGAAGATAATGAAACGGTAAGTTTCAATCTTGTAATCCCATAATGTCTCATAAAAACTGCAATAAATGAAACCTAAAAATTTAATCAAAATTGTATAACTTCTCGTTTCAGAATAAAAAAATGTTGCATCACGTCGAAAAGCTTCTTGAAAGCGTTGAAATTTTTTTCAAGATAAAATCTTTCGTTATACTGATGCCATTAATAGTGTCCGGTTTGAAGGAAGTTGCCACACAATTTGCTGAAATAGTTTCCATTCGAAAGTGTGTTCTATGTATTTTAAATAGATATAAAGGCGAAGATAAACAAATAAAAGAGCTTATTCGAGATATTTTTACTAAAGAAACTGCTAACACATTGAATACTGTACCTATGGCGGCCAAAGATAAGAAAAATAGTCTGAATATAGTAGACACTGTGGTAGAAGATGGAATGGAGTATGTAGTGGTAAAGAGTAATTGGAAATTTAATCCGAAAAAATTAACAGAAACTCAGAAAGAAAAGTTGCTAAGGAAGCGAGACGACATTCCGGCGCTCTATCAAGACATGTCTCAATCTCAGGACCAATTTTTGTTAAGCGCTTGGAAAACTGACTCCACCGACGCAACCTCGTCTTCTAAATCGTCCACCGTCGACGAACCTCGCCCCGATGCCACGACACGCGTTGATGATGATGTTTTACCGAATATAAAGAACGATTTAAGTGACAATGACAGTGAAAACAATAACCTCGGAGCGAAACCATCGGCCGAAGTGAAGTCACCGCGAATGTGCCTCGCGAATCGGGTTTTCAGAAACGTTCGAAATCTAATAGAGAACTCGGATTTATCGACAGCTTCTCCACGAAAGTCGGCGTCGCCTCCGCCACCGGATACGATCCGATCCAAAGATGTGAAGTCTGCCCCGCCGGTGAAACCCGCTCGACCCCTACGAACGATTAAGACGCCGAGGAAGTTTGACGATTCCGCCATGTTCGGTGTTAGGCGTCGACGACATTCCAGTTACATTGAACGTTCGCACGCTGCGGACCATTTCGAAGTCGCTCACGAGTTCCCACAGTCGAATGACACACCAAAAAGGGCCAAACTAGCACCATTGTCCGCAGCGAGAGCGGAGACGCCGAATTTGAGCAGTGCCGGGATGGTGGACAAGAGTAGCGCGAAGAAATCTCGTATCGAGAAATCGCTCCGAATCGATATGGTCGAGGGTCACCCGTTTTTGAATGCACAGGACACCGAAAACATTGGAAACAAGAGAAACACTCGAAGGAAGTCAGCCGCAACTCTATCTACGACCGCCCCTCCCCATTCTACCGATACTAATACCCCTGAAAATGTCACTTCAAAAACAAAACCACAATCACAAAATATTTCGTTATATGATGACAAAGTCGAAAACTCTAAGAAAATGTCAAAATCAGTCGACTCCAACGGTAATGAAACCTGTGTTTCCACCGGGGAACTCAAACCGGAGTCTACGGTCTCCCAGGATATTATCGAAAGCTCGCAAGATTCTTCCCTCACGACAATTTCGACTGCTTCTAAAATGACGAAAGTACTGATCGTGCCGATCGAACGAATCGAAACCGCGAAAATGCTTAAAAAGAATATTAATGATACGAGTAAAGGTGATTCGGAACTTCCAAAAAACACTACGGTCGATGACGACACGATCATTGAAGAAATGGCTACGGAACTCATGGATTCACAAGCTCATTTCATTAATATATCGGATACTCAGCAGACCACGCGCATGGAATCGAGCGATAAACAAACTGACTCTGAAATTGTGGCCGCCGCTGCCACCGAACCTTTAGATTTTAATTTGTGTATAGATGTCTTTAAAGAAGAAATGAACGACTCCAGCATGACTCGGGCCGATTCGCCGGCGCGTGAAGAACCACAAATGAACGAAGGAGTGGCGAATTCTGTTCAAACGGTGACAGGGGAAGAACACGCCTCGTCACCGTTGAAGGGCGATGAACAAAGGAAAAAGGACTTTCTCAACAGCACTCTAGAGATATCGCCGATCAAAATAGTGAGTCCGGTGAGAGGCGAGACCCCGTCGCCGGAAACGAGCAGCGATTACGTCGTAGTGAACGTGTCGGTACCCGTTCCGGCCGACTGTGAGCATAAGTGCAATTCTCCCGAAATATTCACAGACGATAAAGTAACTTCGGATGAGAAGGATTTATCCCCTACCAGACAGGACAAGGAAGGCATCGACAGGAGTCCCGCGTCGTGCTCGGCTTCGAAGAAAAGTCGTCCCCAGTTGCGGTTCGGCCGAGGCGCTCAGATGCTCGATCTCTGCGTCGTGAGTAGACCCGTGCCGTATTCGGCGGAGAGCGTGGAGGGCTTTTTGAAGAAGCCGACCGTCCTCAATGCGACGGTTAAACGAAATTTAAAAAATGTTTACAATACAGAGAGCTACGACAGCTCGGACACCGATACTGACAACGAACAATTCCTCAAGTTGAAGCGTAATCTGCCTTCCACCAAGAGCAGTCCCGCCGGACCTATTCTGAAGAGGAAGCACGCCGAGATGACCGACGACGCCACTCCATCGCCGGCCAACAAAGTGAGTTCTTTTTGCTTCACTAATAAGGTATATGGTCTTTAAAAATTATTAATTTTTTGCCTTTAACGATCCGTCCCATGAGGCCGTCAATGTACAAGATTGTTTTATTCGGTTTTTATCACCGAAACTCAAAAAAGACACTTTATTTTTACTACCTAAAAGGAAACTTGTGATGCTCGAAGGGGGGATAACTTTTTGGTTGATAAATATTTTTTATAAGACTCGTGCTAAATATTTTTTCCATCCTTAAGGATTTTAATGCAAATGTATTTCTATCAATTTCAATAAAAATCGACTAAATTTCACTTAGGCACGCCTATGAACATGTCTTTTTGCATATTTGGTAATGCTCGGTACACAATGAAGGTGTCTCTGTCATTCTTTGGCGTTAAATCGAAAGGCTAGAAAATGTATGTACGATTTAAATCACAAATGGCAGTGTTACTTTTCTTTCCGAGTGTACAACTGCCAAGAACCGCCAAGTGTTTGCTTTATGTAAATTATCAAATGCATGTTGTGTTTGTAATCAAATTAAGATGACAACTAATGAGAAAATGTATCTAATGTCTGACAGTTTGGCGGAAGTTTTCATAGGCATAAATTACCGACCGTACGACATTTTAAATGTTGTTTTAGTCAAGTTAAAAGTAACTCGATTGACAGCTTGCGTTGCGACTTTCAAATTCACAGTATACAATAAAGCGTGGCTACAAGAACGGCGAAATGGGTTAAAAGTGTATAAAAGTACAAAAGGCAATATATAAAGTGATTTAATTGAATGACAATATAAGAGATAATAATACACTTTATTTACTATCTATATTCCGTTTTCTAATCCAAGTTAATGCTATCGTTTTTCAGAAAAAACGCGTCAGCTTCCACGATCCTCCAGTATCCACCATGATGTGCGTCAAAAAGTATATCGAGCCATTACTCCCCAAGTCCCCACAAAATTCAACGGTCAAACAACAAGAGACATCTCAGAACCGTTCTCCCAATAAAACCCCCAAGTCTATGAAGAGGCTCGAGAGAGTTCTGTCGAATACTATCGACAGTTTCGACCACGAAAATGCCACCGACGACACACTGACGAGTTCCGTGGACCGAACCCCGGCCGTGGACGTGGTTAAGACGAGCGATTTGAACGACGTCGATCCCGTATGTCCCGAATTGGTCGACTGCGAAGACCCCATCGACGTCATCGCCGCCGAGCTCTCGTCGCCCGCTATGAGGTCTTTACTCGTCAAAGAATTCGATGGGAAAATACGAACCGTGGGCGATCTCGCTCGGATGACGGAGCTAGAGATCAACAGGTCGTGCATAAAGGCGCCGAAGGTGGAAGTCGCGAAAAAAGTATTAGAGGCTCACTCGAAAAGTGCACAGAGAGTGATCAATTCAACGGACGCAGCTCTACCGCGCCAACCGGACGCCGCCACGCTCCACGAAAAGGAGACTAGTGTCGAAGGACAAGTGGACGCCTCGGAAACTTCTAGGGATGTTACAGAACCTATTGAAGTGCAGAGTCGCCGTATCGGTTCACAGAGGGAAGTGAGTAATGTTTTTTATCCTTTACACGTTTGTAGGATGATCACTAAACCAATGGTAAATAGAATGCCCGTCAAAATAGTTTTCTAAAACGAATGTGGTTAAAATAGGTTACAGAGGGTATCCTATTAATTATTCTCTTAACACATTAAACGCTTAATGGCGTTCAAATGAAATACTGTCTAATGGTAGCAATGCATACTTAATAATCGTGGGTTCGATCTCCACCGGGTCAAACGTGTTTCTAATTTTCCAATTTATAATTTATCTGAAACATGTCGACTTCATCCGGAAATCGTAGAAATTCCGTTCAGGTCAGGAACCACCGTCCACAGATGAAAAAATCGTGAAGCTTAATCGATTCCGGTCTCACTCTGGATTTCCGAACATCCAAAGCCAAAAAACAGGACGGATAATAGGATGCTATAGACCGGGGTACATCACCTACCATCGAGTGAACCCAGCGGTTGTCTGCCCGCCTCTATCATAAAAAGGGAACGTTCACGAATTGAAAGTATTTTTGTTAAATTTCAGATCGACGAAAACGATGAAAAGACCGTTGATGCTATCATGGAAAAGCTAATTTTAAGGAATCCGACTAGAGCAATGGACAAGATCAAGGCATTGTTGGCCCTCATAAGCGCTACTCACTTGCAAGCGAAAACAAACAATTAACATTTAGAAATTTGGGTGCCTTACGAGGATTTCAAAAAATGTTTTCTACTAGAAAATAACGCATCTCAATTGATGCGGCTTAAATGAAGAGAGTATTTCCAACGTATCAATGACACAAACGACGAAATCGGTCGAAGACCCAATTTCGCTAAGAAATGATATCATCAATTAATTGACTGACCGCCGTTTAATTTTTCTTGGGTCGAAAAGGACAACTAGTGAATGGAGAAATGTCAGAGAGAAGTGTCGTATTTTTCACATATTATAATATTATGTTCGTCGTTTTTTAGTTCTAACAGTAAAACTAGGGTTTTGTGCTATTCAATAATCCACAATTATATACATTCTATGAGGTTTGTCCCTTTTGGAATCGTCAATTAATTATTTGTGCCCGTACGAAATAATTTGTATACCGGTTGTCTATCTTTTTAAGAAAGTGTATTTTTTATTTATTTTAAGTAGCTGTAGCGTTTTTGTTTTTACTTCGAAGTCTTACAATGTATAAAAGATCTTATGTCGACTCGCACGTCGCCAGGTCACCTGGTAGTCTTGGACGTTTAGAACGGGATGTCGTAAATAAAACAGGATATGTAAAAACTAAAAGTGTTTAATACAAAACGAATATGTACAATGTTTTCAGTCGTTAGCGGTAGGATATCCTACTAATAATAATACTCCATATGCTATAGCAGAACCAGGAACGAGGTACCTAACCCTGGAATCTAAGATACAAACGCATTCGAATCGAGTTCGTCGTATGTCCGTCGAATGTTTCAAATAGCATATGGAACGAAAGGCAACCATTTCGAATTATATCGTTAGATCACTTTCATATTGTACGTGCCTAGGAGACAGTTTACTATATATAATAGCTCTATACGAACGTAAGGCCAAAGCGAACTACGTTAAATCGAGGCGATACTTTTGGAAATTGCGAGATATGCGCACACAGGCAGTTGAAAACTTTGCACGGGCAGTTTGTATCGATCCAAAGTCAGGGTATATTTAAATATCGCGCAGTGATTCAACGGAAAATTTACTGATATTTTTTATTAAATAATGAATGACATTTACTTGTTTCATTGATCATACCATTCGCCAGATCGTCAATTATAGCGACATACGTTAGCGTTTTTCTTTAATCTTCTCGTAGACGCATTACATTACAACATCCTTCTAAAGAGCCTTATTATACTTAAAATATTTTAATATAATGACACCTGCCAAACCGAACCTTATGGGTACTGGTTTATAGTATACTTTTTCATAAAATATAATACTTTGGTCCACAATTGAGCACACGAAAATGTTCTCGCATAATACTTCACGAAGAAGCGTGGCCACTGTCAGGGGAATCGCAACTCTGATATGTAATTATGATTCTCTAGATTCTGATGCGAATTGGAGCGCCGCGGAGCGCGCGGTCTGTGCAGGTTGTGGTGGGAATGAGTCCGGGTCACTGTGTACGGCTCCTCTCGTCTCGGACTCGTGTCGCTCGACTTGCGCGGCTTAAGCTCGTCGCCGAGTCCTGGCGTTCGCCCGTAACTGTCGAAGGCTAGTCGATTCGCCTCGTACCTCTGCAGCTGCCAAGCTCTGTCGCTGTCGTTCCCGTAGATGTCGAGCTCGCCGGACGGCTGGAACTGACTCGTGCTCTGCCCGTAGTTGAACCTCTTCCAGCTGTCGTCGTACTTCCTCCTTTTGCCGCCCTCGTTCGCTATTTGCCGTCGCTGCGATTGATTCGAACTGCTCTCACTCGTGTCTTCTCCGGACGTGCCTATGCCCAGGTCTTTGTCTTCGCTGTAAATTTTGTAGATACCGTTGGGGCTTCCGCTCTTGCCGTTGTAGATCTGGTCGTTGAGCATCAATCGAGGGTGCGGTAGGCAATACGGGTTGGGGTAACATTTTTCAATTTTTGTTAACTTTATATCGTCGTCATGTTTCGTACACGAGCCGGGCCCGAATAGAGACAACAGCACGGGCAAGAGGAACAGGCCGTGCATCGCCCCAAAGAATATTACCATGAAGACCATTTTGAAGAAGACCGAGAATATATAGCTATCCGCTAGTAGCAGTGCGACGACTCCAAGAATGGTACTGAAGGATCCTTGCACTATAGGCAGTCCCAAAGAGTATAAACATTCGCTCACCCTCTCTTTAGGGGATCTAGCTTTCGATGACATGTACGCGTAACAGATATGGGCCGTAAAATCTACGGAGAATCCGATGCACATTATGAGGTTTATCATGGAAACCGAATCCAGGTTAATGTCCCACAAAGCCATATAGCCAACTACGCCCACTTCTATCGATATTATGCTGAAAGCTACCCACAGGGAGCACAAAATGTTAGGAATGAATATGAAGGACGTTATCATCATCATGAGTGCACCGTAGCAGAGGTTCTGTATGGACGTCGGTCGAACGAGCTCGAACTGAAAAGAAGGTAATTCATATGTCACTCGAGAATCAACTTATCAAAAGGATATATATATATATATAGGTGATTATCCGACTGAACCCACCTGATCGAAGAATACGAAGTACGGATGGAAAACGGAAACGTTAAGAGGAGATTGCGCCACGACCTCTCTGAGCGCTTTGACCATTTCCTTTTCATGGTTCGTTCCACTTATGTTTATCGCCTGGACCAAGAATCGGGACGCAATTATTGTTTCACCGGTTTCGTCGAACTTGACATCCAAAGAGAACGGGTTCGCCGGGAACAACCAAAGCTGAAACAGCAGAATTTTACTTGGATACCTGGTTCTTTATATTTTACTCGTGGTGATCGATTATAAATACAATTATGTAAGCTCGTTAGGCTAAATACCTCTTTTAGATTTTTTATGAAATCTTCCTCTGTGTCGATAGAAATGTTCAAGTAGTCATTATTCCTTTCGACGTACTCCACAAATGTTCTCAACCACGACTCGGTGTACAGAGAGTTGGAAATGTACGAAGTATTTTCTAGGCTCTTCGTTAGTGTTTCCACCTCATCTTGGATTTTTGGATCGGAGTAATTGTACTCACCACTTATGATGACCTGTAAAGAGATTCTATTGTACATGATATGTCATAATTATTGTTCTTGTATCTACGAACGAGACGAATACTTACTTGTATCCTGTACGGAAATTCTCTGTAGTAAAGGTCCTCGCGGTCGAAGAATTCAACCGAGTACGAATCGTTTTTGGACAATTTTCGCCGCTCCAAGCCTTCTTTAAGATTAGTAACGCCGTAGCCGGCTCCGGCTAAGTAAGCCAAAAATACAACGATCACGAAGGCCTTCATGAAGTTATTGTTGAGGATGTCCGCCATGGTCATTTTGAAGAATGACATAATGCAGTGTTCTTTGTTGTCCACGGGATTCGTGGGGTCGGCCGGGTCGACACCACCGCTGCAGAAAATGCGATATAACCACGAACGTTTTTCTGAAATCAAAAGGATTTTCTAAATATGTCTTTAGAATCAAACTAGGATTCAAAGGTTCCGTATGACGTCACACAATTTATCGATAAATTTCGCTTGGATTAGCTCGTTTTCAATACAATTGTGCATTCTTATATGGAAGATAAAAGCGAAGGCGACACAAGAAAAAAACGTAAAAAATAATAAGTGTTTTTAAGCTTTCTCTTTTTCGAGGCTCGTATCCTTTTATCAAATTAACCCTTACCTTTGCGCGCTCTCGACTCAGGTAAAACTTTGAGCCACGTGAACGTGTGTCGATTCTGCTTCTCCCTGTATCCAGATACAGCGACGCATCCAGCAAAGAAGGTCAAGTGCCACACAAAAGTGAAGCATACTGCTAGACCTGTTAGACATGTATTTTATCAGCAAAATGGCTAATCGATGTGTCATTTATCCTTCTCCGGAGAGCATTGTCCGGATGGTGTGGATGGGTTCGGTAATACGTACCTGAATACATGCAGAATATCTGAACCGAGGGAAATGGAGAGAATATCCCGATGAAGAACGACAGCATATCCGTAACCGACGTGATCGTTATAGACACGGCGGCTTCCGAGAGCATGATCGCCATGCGCTCGGGCACGGGCAGTTGGGGCGATGTGCGCCGCCACGCCGCCAGCATGACGAATGTGTCGTCGATGCCGATACCTGACGACGTTACGGTTAGCAGCCATTAGCAAGGTACGGCCAAATTTCCCAAGGTCTTAGTGTGGTAGCAATGTATGTTTTATAATTAACAGATTGTAGGTTCCATCCCCACCGAGTCCAACATTTTTATAAGGTTTTAAAATTTCATGTATATTAAATAAAATAGATTTGTAAATGATTTAAAGATTTTAGATAGAATGATTAAATGACACGGACGGGACGTATACCCGAGATCAACAACTCCTGCGTCGACGCTCTATTAAACTTACCTATTGTGATACATTATTGACGTCGTGTCTGTTTGTTGTGTTTTAAGACATACTAATAACAATTATTGTTTCGAGGTAAAAAAATAATCTTACCTATAAAATACTCTACACTCACCTATCATCAAGAAGGGCGCTGCTAAGTTTATACCGATAAAAGATATCCCCAGGTAAATAGCGCAGCCGAAAGCCGCAGCCGTCGCCATTACGGCCGAAATATTTCCGAGCAAGCCCAGCCAGGGTTTGGACCGCACCCAGTCGCCCATCATGCAGGTCACGATGGAGAAGATACCCATTAAAATGAACGTCGAACTAAAGTAAGGTATAACAGTTCTCGTATTCTTCTCGAGTTCGTGATCTAGCGTTCGCGACGCGAATCTCGCGACGGAGATGTGTTTGAATCTTCCCGTGTCCTCTGCTACGCCGACGGCGTCCAAGAACGCGTCTTCCCAATCTGCACCTCTGAAAGGACGATCGATTCATTAGAGCATTTTATCTTGTGGCTTTAAACGTGTGTCTGTTACTCTACATTCAGTAAGAAACTTAATATTTATCTCCCATCCACAAACGTGACGTAGGCAACATCCAAAAGATTGATGGAGCTACATACTGTGTGCATTTCTATTTGTATGGTCTTAACGTAACGTTCGGCGTTCAGCATTCTAAACAAGAGTTTAAAACCATGTCAAGATCGTGCCTTAGGTAAATCGAATAGATTGTTACCGATGCTTAGTAAAACTTACTTTGCGATGAATACGCAAACGAGTCGTAGAGTGTGCTGTGTATTGGAGCGGACACAACGACCTAGCGAAACAATTAAGTGTGCTGCAATTGCTGTTCCGATTTTAACACTCGCTTCACTTTTTAAATAATTATTTTAAGTTTCGAACATTATGTATATTGATTTCTAGCTTTTACTCTCATTTCTAATTCCTTGCAATAAAATAAAAATAAATCTATTAATATTTAGGTACTTTATAATAAATACAATGTTTTACATTTCCTTTGTGTCGTAATGAGTGTATCGGTGACTCTGAGAATAATGATTATGTTACGAGTCGAAAACACGAGCCTCGTCAATGGCGTCTATTGTCTTCAGTTTCCCCGAATGAGACAAAACAGGCTATTGATTCATTGTCAATACACAGATTTTCTTTTAGCTAAGTAAATGTGCGTAGAGTGAGGTGATCGCCGGCGACTAGCCTCTATGCTAATAACAACACATCGCTTAAAAGGTACCAGGTACCTCGGGGCTATTTCACAAGTCGGAACTATTGTAAAATTTTCTGACCAGTTTCTAAACACTATATAAACCGTTCGGCTAATTTTGTTTAGATCTCAAGACAAGAAGTTTCCCATGAACTCCATACCGTTGTTCTTGCAGTTTAGTGTCCGTTCTCACGAACCAGACGAGCTGCACGGCGGGCACAGACACGATCGTGTCGTCCACAACTTTAGCCCCGCCGAAGTAAACGGGAAAAGCGTGAGCCTCCCAAGTCACGGGGTTGAACATTATCGGAAACGTAAGATTCAATTCGCCACGTTCCACCTGAAAATACACAGAATGCATTTCGAAACTGACCGCTAAAGTAATTCCTACTTCTATTATTTTTATCAAATGGAATCGGTGAGTGGCTATAACGCTTCTTAAGGTAGCTTAGTCACACTTATTGTTTTAAAACAACGATATGGCTTCGATGCAACAATGAAAATGTTTAGGTACGTAGTGCCGATAGGAGATGAAAAAAGTAGTATATGTTGTTTTAATACGCTTTTAATTTGAAATACTTAAGTTAAAGTTTGAAGTTATTTAAAAAAATCTAAAAAACGGTTTAAAAAAATGTGTTACTTTAGCGTGAATCGTTCTGTGTTAGGTCCGGCGTATTTAGGAGTTAGTTTCATCGTTATAACAACAACAAATTCAACACGTAGGCATACACATACCTCGCCTATAATTTTGTCCAAGTTGAGTATATCGTTGACGAAGCATTGTCCCTCCCACCGTGCGCACTCCTCCCTGTACGTGAACGATACTCCGGTCGGCGTGCTGACCGTTATATTTTGGACTAGCTCATCGAGCTCCCTTAACTCCTTCCATACTTCAGTGCGCAGCATATTCCTGTCGCCGTCCTTGGCTACGACTATCACGCGACCGAATCTACCTGAACAACAATTTCTGCGGTAAGTACCCACATATTGATCTTTTTAATAAATCTTTTGATGATCAGGACAGCGATGAGTATTTAAATAGTCTTGAAATGCTTCAGCCGTATATACGGTAAAAATAGATATAAATATGTACATACATAAATTGTCTTCTTCGTCTACACAATATGTTACCAAACATAACTAAAATATATAAATAGATGCTATATTCTTCGCCTACAGGTAAAAGCAAAAGAAAAAAACCGCCGAATTTGTTTTAATTTTGAAGTTATATTTACTATTTTTCGGAGCCCGATAAATATAACCCAATCTCAATTTATTCGTAACTAGCAGAGTCCGCGACTTCGTCCGCCCACAAGTCTATTATATAGAGACAGATAAGGAATGACAAATATTGAACATGTAAATGGCCCTGCCTGCTAAGAGTTGTGTGAATTGTGCCTAATGGCTTAAGCAGCCTAATTGAAAGGGACATATTTAATTTAAAAATCCTTAATAAAAACTTTTTAACGGCTAAAACGCTTCGTGGCCATCTGCTGCCAAGCATTTCAAACGTTGGGTCGTAGTTAATAATATATCTAAAGTTTTAAACAGTTATGTCGTACGCACATACGACAGCCGTTAGCTACAGTTAGAAAACACGTATTATTTTTCTGAATGTCTAATAAAGCGCAAATTAATTCAAGAAATTAAAAGGTGAACGAACAAAGCTAAAGCGAATAACAAAGCAATAGAAAGCGGAGTACCCGCTCGTGTGATCCTCCCAACATTGAAACGATGCGAATAGTTAACTTTGAAGTGTTCCTCGACTATTCGTCTTTCCAGCTTGCCCTGACCGCTGACCGGCGAGAAGAGGTACTCGGGATCCATCTCGTAGTAGACTCGCTGGTAGCCAGTGATCATCAACAGGGTGAGGAGGACAGGGATGATTACGAAGTACCCGGGTTGCCTCCCGACCACTAACCCGAGTTTGTAGAACGATCGATTCAGAACGTCGTCGACGAATGTCAATTTGCAACCCATCTGAAACCATAAGGTAATATTATAGATACGAGTGTGAACTCACAAATGAATAGAACTAATTTAAAATTATTGTTATGATAAAACTTTTATAATTCAATTTCATATGGAAATACTTGAATTTAACTTGCCAAATTCTAAGTCATAGTCTAAAATGTATAGTTTCCGGTTTATTAGTAAACTTTATTTTAAATTCGTTCGTTAAAGTTTTGGTTAGAATTATGCAGAGGGTAGATTATAGGAATCGACGATTACGCCGTCACGTCTTTGTACGATACGTCAAGTTTAAGCATACATTTTTTGGCTTTTTTTACTATATAAATGTTTGAGACTAGGTATAATAAGTTATTCCAGTCACACGTGCTATTAAGCGTCCGTGGAAGTTAGCGTGTCCTCGTTTCGTAATGAAAAACTGGTTGTCAATGTTTCATGTTGGGGTCATCCATTACGGGTTGGTTCTGTTGTTTGCGGTTTTGTTTCGGTTACGCTTAAAAGGCGTTTTACGTGAATGTGGTCCGACCGGGGCTAATCATACCTATCTAAATCCCATTCAGGTCTAAGACTTACTGCAGGCCTACTGAAACTCGTTCCAATTTAAATTAAACAGCAATAAATCTTAAACTAAGATGACGATGAAGGTATTTCCGATTAAATCTCACTCATTTAAGGTTTCATTTTCGCTCATATTATCCATACGGGTTCGACTCTGACACTTGCAAAGCACTTTTAGAGTAATTACGTCAACTGTATTATCCACTAAAATATTACGGCTTAAGGTTGAGAACTGGATCACGTTATTTTGACCTTCATTTTACTGCCTACCTTGACTTGTTATTTAATTTCTTGTGAACAAAGGTCCAAAGTTTTGTTCAATATGAAATTCAAGACCACAGTAAGCAAGTTTATGAATAGGAAATCTCATTTCTCAACTGTCTATCTTCTGTTACCATACATTACTTTCATAAAGAGCAAGTAACATAATTCATCATGAATTGTGCAATGCATCGTATACTGTCAGTGTAATGACAAATACAATAAATGTCAACTTTTGCCTTAAGTAAATGTGCCTAAAATACAACACTTTAAACCGTCGCTCGTGTACCTGAACTAAGACTTTATTTATTTATTCAAATCCTTTAAAGTCCGATAAGGCGCACATTGGAAGTATTTAATGTGGATACATTAAATACCTTCAATGAGCACCTTATATAAAGCACATCGCGTTAAAAACGTACACCAAATTTTGCAAATTCTACTTTAACATAACATTTTTATTCTACAATGTGATACAACTAATATATGACGAAATTCAATGATTATAACTATATCAGTCTAGCGATAATCTTTTCGCATCGGTGTAGCCTAAGTACCTTGTCAAAAAACTGTGCGTCTGCGCTTAGTTTTGTATGGTGGGTCATGGTCAGAGTGACATCGCGATTCATTTTCTACTTTGAAAGTAACTCGAGTAATGACTTTCCCAGGCCCAATGTGTTTCTAAAAGAAAGTCATATTTTTTTTTGGATACACTTCGTTATAACATTATGAGGTATATATCTAAATTCGGTCTGGGTCACGCCACCACCGTCTGTGCTTCGGTTTCAGTATGTGGTGAGCATTTCCGCGTGTCCAAAGCGATGATAGGTCGTTGGGCATTTCTGCTAGTAAACCACGCTTGCCTATCCTTCACCACAAAAAATAAAACTATTTGTTTTTTCTTTATCCTAGACTTCAATAATATTAGTAGAATGTCGTAAAGGAGGTCGTAAAACACATGTAAATAGCAAGTAATCTTTTTCATTTAATTCAAAATAATGTTATGCAAATGTGTTGCAATGAATAGAAACTTTATAGCAAATTACTTATTGTTTTTGTTTGATACCTGCGATATTAAAGCATATACCCTATTATAAGCATACACACTATTTATAAGCGCTAATATTTGAATAGCTCTACGCGTACAAATGCCCTTGAAAAATAACCGGAAATATTAGCTTTTATTCAATGTGGCCTACCAAAAAACGTCTCTACGAGAGTGCTACACATAGCGTAGCTCGAATTGAATTTTAGCTATAGTATTATAATAAGGATTTCTCTTAATATATCAGATATAATTATAAATTTACCATTTATTAACTATCCGTAAAATCAGACGCCTCGTCCGAATCACAGTCATTGCCAGTTAGGTTTAGGCAAAGAGGATAGGTATGGAAATAACATCAATTAAACCTCAGCAGCGCGATTAAATTCAGTGGCTTTTGTGATAGCGATCAATATCATTATATATAGTATATTAGTGTTGTTACTCATTGTATGATTCGCGTGTGCCATTTGTGTTATTACATAAGCGAAAATATTTATTTTGCAAAAATGTACGTGATGTAAATAGATCGAAAACTAATCAACACTATTTATTTATATCATCCATATGTTATTGATGTAAGTCATAGAGTAAAAATATAGCTTACAGTTAGCTTATTGGGTTAGAGTTAAGACAAAGGAGAGTTGATCGTTTACTTATGGAACGGGCCCGAACTGTAAAATTTATTCAGACTAATAAAATCAGAACCCACTTTTCATTTTATGGAAATAAGTATATCTATAGATTTTTCACACAGTTGATTTTAAAGGAGTTAGATTATTAGAATAAGAAGCTAGACGTAACTTATATAATGACGATGAATTCCTTGACCAACAACAACATTTCACTTACGTGTAGGTGTTCAGAATGTAGATTACAATTATAATACCATATATATATATATAACAGACCCGTTGAAAATATAACATATTAGTTTACTTTGCACTAACCACCAAAACAATTATATAATTTATATCTGAATCAATAACACAATAGACTTACCCACGTATGCTAAAAAGGATAGAAGGTTCTAGTTCTAGAAAAATTTAAAAGTCCAATGTCCGAGTGTGAGGCATAGGTGTCCTTCGATTGGAGAGATGGGAGAGGATGGAATCACACGTCCTATTTCCAAACTCTAAATGGTAAAAAGTGCCTTGGAACAATCTAAATACCGAATTCAAGTGTCTGATCTGAGACTTGAACTCTGGAGTTTGGTAACAGTCGAGTATATGAATCTTTTTAAAAACGCGCCCACCCTCGCTCGCCGTTATCGATGCGTGAACGAGAAGCGGTTACAGAATTATGTCACATATTGCACAATGATCTCGCGTGGAGCGTTATAAACACGAGGACAGTAACGGCGCAGATCACTTCTTAGCGGTGTTAAACGGTACTCGGGCGCTGCCTAGGGTATTCATTACGGTGATTACTTAATTCTGTAGCTCTGAATCGCTCTGGGCGTAGACTATTTATTATCGTACACATTTCAGGTCCGCATAGTAATATATTGTATACAAAAATTCCATATTTTACAAGCCTATTATATATAATAAACAGCTGTTTCAGCGACTTCGTCCGCCTAGGATAGTTGTTATGGGCATCCAAATTTGTTTGCAAAAACACACCTCTACATCCTTATAAATTTAAGCCACCCACACATTGGTCGCGTCTTGTCGCTCGCGACAATTCGATCGAGTCCCGTCGTTCTTGCAAGTCAATCTTAAAAGATTTTGATTTTGACATTTTTTTAGATCATTTAAAGAGAAATCATTGTGTCATGCATATTTTTGGGTTGAACCGTTTTTGTTGTCAGAACGCGATATTTTATAGCCTTAGCCTTCCTGAATCAATGCTCTAACCAATACAAAAATAATTTCAATTCGAATCGGTAGTTCCTGAGCGCATTAGCGCGTTCAAACAAACAAACTCTTCAGCTTTATATATTAGGATAGATATAAGTGCTTATTTTTAAATTTTTGTTAACTTTAAACTATTGTAATCTGAATATTTTTTTGTAACTTACGCTATATTATTTTGAAAGTGAACTTTATAAATAAAAAAAACTATTTTGATTTTTGAAAAATACGACTTGAACAGGACGACACACTGTGCCGTGTTACTGTTCAAACCAATTGAGCTACTCTTCTAAGTACTACTACTACTCACTAATCATAATATCAACTTAGGGATAGGCACCTCTCGCGCAATTTGTATTTTTTATAGGCTTATTTTAAAAAAAATAGGGAATTTTAGCAATGTTGAATTATAGGTATACTAAAATATAGATTTTGAAAAGGTAAAAAAAAGTTTAAAAAGCGAAACGACAATCGATCAGAAAAGATAATATATCGTTTGAAAGACGTACTCTCTGATCTATTGTACTTGAAATTGCATTCGTGAAAGTAAACAAGAGCCAACGGGCCAATGGCACGACACGCGCGGAATCGCTAAATTATCCACTACTTGAAGGCATAATGACTGTTCATTGATCATTATAAACGATCGCTGAGATTCCAGAGATCGGCTCGTTCAATCGTCGATCGCGCCCCTGCAAATGATATTAGCTGTTCCCGTGGCTTTCACTGCGTGTTTTCTTTTAACGCACAAGGTTACTTTACGAATCGAAACAGTTTTTCTTAGGCGGTCAGTGTTCCGATTTCGATTCGTATATATATCTCCGACCTTCGATACATTTCAACAAGGAAATATCCAATTGAAAGCATTGTGTTTACTTAGATTAGAAAAACAGAAGAAAACGCATCTTTTGCCCTAACAGACCCAATTCACGTCGATTGTTTCGAGTAGAATTTTCATACACACGGAACTCTGATATAATACTTTTTCTTATTCCATTGAATGTAAATCGATGAGAACTACAATCGAGCGGTACAACGGGCCAATTTGTGAATTATAATTTCCCTCTGTTATTGATTATTTGTAAGACCAAACATTTTTTTCTATGGTTCTCTCACGCCTTTTATGTTAAACCGTTTACATTATTATATTATACACTGAGTTTGCTTGAAACGAAGAATAAATTACAGATACAAATTTTAACTTGGTATCAGCGAAAGTGTCTCATTTTAATTACGCGCTAATGTAAAGCTGTACGTGTTATCCTGCTTGCGCAAGTCCTGCAAGTCTT